GTATCAGCGGTTCAGGCTGGTGGTGGTGGTGTAATGGTGTGGGGGGAGATTTACTTGGCACACTTTGGGCTCATTAGTACCAACTGATCAGTAACGCCACAGCCTACCCGAGTATTGCTGCTGACCATGTCCATCCCTTTATAACCACAGTGTACTCATCTTCTGATGGCTACTTCCAGCAGGATAACGCACCATGTCATAAAGCGCCAATCATCTCAGACTGGTTTCTTGCACACGACAATGAGTTCACTGTACTCAAATGCCATGCAGGATTAAGGCAGTTCTAAAGGCAAATGTTGTCCAACCTGGTACTAGTAAGGTGTACCTAATAAAGTGGCCAGCGAGGGTACAACACTGTGCTGGTGGTTTTTGAATATTTTATTAAAAACAAAAAAATCGAACACATTGCGCCTTTAAGCTTATTTTTTCTTCTAAGTGATTTGTAAATGATGACATGAACAATCGCTTTTGTCCTGACTGAACGTTACTCTGCCCTCCAGGAAAGTGAAACTGCTTCCCCCATAATGATTAAGGGTGTGTGATGATGACAAAGCTGATGTGTTGAATCGCATTGTGGCTAAATATAATCAGCAGCGCATTAAACACAAACACTCTGGTTTTGAATCAGTGTCCAGAAAGCTATAAAAAGCCCCCAACAGCCTGCTGAAGGCTGCGGAAGGGTGTTATTTTCCTGGATGTGTGCGTTGGAGAACAGTGAGGGGCGGCTCATAGTCAGCTGACCTCACACTAGCTGTGCTTCCATTCAAGGATGCGAGTTAGATTTATGCGCAATACTGGAATATCGCATAAAACATTTGCGAATAAAGCGGCGTTTACATCCAGTGAGTAACACAAGAGAACAAAATCATCACTTACTGATAAACTGGGGCAAATATCAGTCAGAGAAATGGAGTTTAGTGCATTTCCAGCAGACACACAACGTCATGTGACATAGGTATTTGGTTATATTTTGGTTACGATGTCAGGGAGCAAAATCCAATGTCAGTTTCACACTTAGATATTGTTTGACAATTGGTTTGGCATGCTGTCCTGGGAGAGAACCCTGAGCTCGGAGATAATTGAGCCCGGGGCTCCCGCCTGGTCGGTTGAGCATGTAAGGGGCGTACGAGATCGGGTAGTTCTCGAGAGCTCCCCGAGGCAAAGGAAGAAAGGGGGACAAGGGGCGAATGGAGGGTTTCTTCGGGAAACAAAGAAAAGGGAGGAGTTTCAGATAGGCTACTTATAGTGAGTTTGCATTAATCTGATTGGCTAACTAATGACTGTAGATGAGAGACCAGCTGCGGTCAATTATCTCCTCTCGAAATTATTAATTCATTCATTTTCTTGTCGGCTTAGTCCCTTTATTAATCCGGGGTCGCCACAGTGGAATGAACCGCCAACTTATCCAGCAAGTTTTTATGCAGCGGATGCCCTTACAGCCGCAACCTATCTCTGGGAAACATCCACACACACACTCATACACTACGGACAATTTAGCCTACCCAATTCACCTGTACCGCATGTCTTTGGACTGTGGGGGGAAACCGGAGCACCCAGAGGAAACCCACACAGAAACGCCAACTGAGCCGAGGATCGAACTAGCGACCTTCTTGCTGTGAGGCGACAGCACTACCTACTGCGCCACTGCCTCGCCTTCCTCTTGAAATTAGTTAACCTCAAATGACGTCACAATAAGAAGTGTAACATCAGTAGACGTTGATCGTTGGTTGGTTTAAATTTGTGACATTAACTAACCAAAATCCAACGTCTCCACGACGTTGGACGTCGATGTCTGTCTGACGTTGGGTTCTGACGTCAACTTGATTTTCATTTTCAACCAAAAGCAACGTCCTGATAATGTTAGGGTGCAACGTCAATCTGTCGTCATATTGACATCCTGTGCCTGCAGGGTTGGGATTCGCCCAACACAGGCTCATTCTGAAAACGTAGGACGTTTATGGAGATCGCGAATCGCCGGAGGTACGTATGGCTGCATTTAATTTTTTTAAAACGAACGCTACGGGGCCGCATGACGTTGTTCATTTTGACGCTTACCGGCTGACTGATTACCTCCATGTGGAGGGCTTTCCCGCTGCAACCAGTTAGTCCAGTTAGCTTGTCATGTTGGACAACGGACTTGAGACGCAGAGAGGAGTTGATGGGGTTCGGAATTTGAGCAGTTCCAGAAATCAAGTAAGACATAAACAGAATCCAAGAAATAAAGTGAATAACAGGGTGAGAATGTGGTAAAATCTGAAGACATGGTAAAAATGGTGGCTTTTCTTTTTCTGGACGGCTTTTGTAAATCGTTGGTTGGGTTTAGGGAAGTAAGCGGGTGGGCGGGTCAATCAGTAAATTAAGTTGGGTTTAGGGAAGACGGACAGATGATCGACAGCGGCCTCTTGTGGGTTTACGCGAGAACAGCGCTAGCACGAACGGCACTTGCAAGAGACCACTCGCGAGAGCGGTCTTTTGTGGATTCCATAGACTGTAAAATATATGGACGTAGTATCCGTGACGTCACCCATAGGTTTCTAAAAAGCGCAAAAGAAGCCACAAGTAGGTGCGGCCAACCGTCGCCATTTTTTTCGCGCGTCATCACACCCACGGCGGGATACCAAACAAGAGCAAAGAGGCGGAGAGTGAGCGGAGCTACAGACAACTGCTGGCATTTAGCTTGGACCTGGTTCAGACACACTTTACTTTGGGAGAACGCTTAATACTTTATCACCTGCGTCTCGTTTGTATTCTGTCCACTTGTGCTTAAGTGTATACTATATCAATAAAGTGTTTAGACTTTTAAAAACACTGCTGTAATACACTGAGCCACTAAACATTGTTCTTATGACGTTATTCAACAGGAGGAAAACGCAAATTACTTCCAAACACTTCAGATATAGTCTGTGTTAGTTAATGTAAGACTATTGATGAACTCCAGCATAACACTGTATGACAACGCTTCAGATGACTGATCTAGAGCCTACAGCTAATCAATTCGTCAGATTCTGGAGTGCATTACAGCTCTAAATATGAATATAAATGATCTTAAATAAAACAAATACATGTATAGAGATGGTATATAAGTATATAACTTTACTCACATGGGAAACGGAGGCCACGTTAATGGTTTGTGAGCACAATTAAGTGCACTCAGCATGCCATGCCATCTAATAATTGTAGGAAACAAGTCCAAAAGGCAGTTGACTGTGTAAAGCCACATAAAACAACACAGAAATACGATGAATATGCCGAGTTCAGTGGCTAATCTGCAGGAGTCAGCTAAGGTGACGTGACGGCGACCAACTAGACCTATCTGTCACTCAAGTGGCCACTCCCTTAATTATGCAAACTTAATATAACTTAATATAAAGGAAACGGATGAGTTATAAAAAAAATTCACCCCCTCACAGTTGTCATGAAGGGTAATATTAGCTGTATTAACCAAAATCTTTTTTTGTACAGGCTGTAAACACCTTTTTTTCTGCTGTAAGGTTGGCCATTCTAACAGTGGGCTCAATTGAAATTTGCTCTGTTTTGGAGCCAGGAGCAGCCAAGACTAGCAAAATTTCGGATGAATTGCAGTTTTAGATACTTCCGAATTGGCTCTCTGAGGGAGAGCGGGAGGTTGCCGCTTGGTGGATTCACGAAAACAAAAACTGCAAAAAAAAAAACAAAACGCACCTCTAAGGACGTATTTTGCGGCCTCCAGAAACGTCCACGAGACTACATTTTCAGAATGAGCCTGGGTTGGATTCGCCACTCTGGTGTTTTTTCTTCTCGACTAATTGAGTTGCACCTCAGAAGGGGAAGACGAAATGCAATGAACGCAATGCTGTGGCTTTTGGAGGAGTGAGACGCTCTTTGGGAGCGCAGACTGATGCTCGAGACTGTTCTAGAGGAAATAACCCCCATAGCAAAATTTCTTTGGCCCAGATCTGGCCCACACCGTCAGCATTTGCTTGGCCCACATGCCGCAGTGAATTATGGTATATGACTGGACCAAGTCTAGCTTCCATACAAGCGGCAAACATGGACCATATAAGTCTCAGCCAAGGTAAAAACCCATAACTGGGCCTGAACTGGGCCAGATATGTTGGTGTGTGATGACTACGATGTTTTTTTTATAAACCCATGAAGCATTTTGCTTTATGGCTGTGCTTTTTCTTGAAGCGACCTGATTGATACAATTTTTTCTTTGCTCAAAAATGATTTAAATGTATTTTAATAGTGGGTCAAGCTAGGCCAAACATACGTGGCCCACATATACATTTAAATATCTGGGCCAAACACTACATTTGATATATGGCCCATGTCATGAGTTCTGCCTGTAAGACGGTCCCGCCTCAGCCAAACCTGGGCCATGTTTGGCCCACATGCTGCTCGCCAGTGCCGGACTAAATGCCTGCTGTACCAGCTTTATGCCAAATCTGGGCCAGAATTCTTTGCTACCTGGGAATAATACCAACACTGAAGCGCTGTGATGACGGACTGATGGCTGAGGGGTTTATGAAATGAGCAAAACAACATCTCAGATCTTTTACAATGTGCTGGAATCGCTGCTTGGTCCATTAATGCGTCTCTGAAACACATTTATATCACCACATCATCTGTTAAAGCAAAATCACATCACTTTACCACTGCACATGCTGGATTTTAGTCACTAAATGTGGTTCAATATTCAATATGAGGTCAATATTATTAGCCTCCTTAAGCAATATTAGTGTTGAAATGTCTCTAGAACAAACCACTGTTATACAATGACTTGCCTAATTACCCTAACTTTACCATAATTACCCAAGTTAAGCCTTTAAATGTCACTTTAAGCTGAATACTTGTGTCTTGAACAATATCTTGTCTAATATTATGTGCTGTCATCATGGCAAAGAGAAAAGAAATCAGTCATTAGAAAGAGTTATTAAATCTATCACTTGCTCAGCCATTTCTGTGTTTCAGCCTCATCCACTTGTGTTTGCTAATGTTGTGTTGTGTTCGTCCTGCAGGACCTGAAGCTCGAGCTCAGACCGCGGCTTTGTTTCATTATGAAAGGCTCCAATGGCTTCGGCTTCAACCTGCACAGTGAGAAATCCAGACCGGGACAGTTCATCAGAGCCGTAGACGAAGACTCGCCGGCGGAGAGATCCGGACTCAGGCCCAAAGACCGCATCGTACAGGTACAAAACACAATCTTTTACCTTTGGTCAGCTTAGCGGCTAATTCTGTTCAGTCAGACGAAAATATAAAGCGACAACCTCCAGCTCTCCCTCGTTAAGTTAATACAGAAGTAACTGAAACTGCAATTCATCGATATTTCCACTAGGCTTGGCTCAATAATAGAGCACATTTCTACAGGGGAATTACCAACCTACATCACACGGGTTCAACTGCACTTATCGGTTGCAAAAAACCCCGATTGGAAGAGCACACATGTCGTGTTGTGCAGTAGGATGCCAAATTCGATAAATTTTTCCGAACACCACACCGCTTTTGATGCCAACCGCAGACGTCTTTGGCTAACAGCCATCATAAGCGCTGAATGGAGTAAGGACCTAATTAATAATGCTGGACTCTTATATTAGGTAAGTTCACGCTGTGCTGAATCATACGCATTACTCGGTTTTGATATCAGCGGGGTTTTCAGCAAAAACAGTTAAATGTGGTGAGTTAAACTGCAGACACTGAATGCTACGAATGAAATGTAAACATGGACTGTATGTTCACACACCCCACCGTACAGGTGCAGTTCGCTGTCAGAATGCAGTCGCTATCAATGTTCTTAGAACGTTATTAGAAAATTCCACTGACGTTATATTGATGTTCTCAAGGCGTTATTAAATACATTATTCAAACATTACACTGACGTTATATTAATGTTCTTAGAACGTTATTAGAAAATTCCACTGACGTTATATTAATGTTCACAAACCAATATTTAATACGTTATTAGAACATTACACTGACGTTATATTAATGTTCTCAGAGCGTTATTTAATACGTTATTCGAACATTACACTGACGTTATATTAATGTTCACAGAGCGTTATTTAATACGTTATTAGAACATTACACTGACATTATATCAATGTTCTCAGAGCGTTATTAAATACATTATTCGAACATTACACTGACGTTATATTAATGTTCACAGAGCGTTATTTAATACGTTATTAGAACATTACACTGACATTATATTAATATTCACAGAGCGTTATTAAATACATTATTAGAACATTCCAATGACGTTTATATTAATGTTTTCAGAGCGTTATTTAATACGTTATTAGAACATTACACTGACGTTATATTAATGTTCTTAGAGCGTTATTAAATACATTATTTGAACATTACACTGACGTTATATTACTGTTCTTAGAACGTTATTAGAACATTACACTGAAGTTATATTAATGTTCACAGAGGTATATTTAATCCGTTTTTCGAACATTACACTAACGTTATATTAATGTTCTTAGAGCAATATTTAATACATTATTACAACATTACACTGACGTTACATTAATGTTCTCAGAGCGTTATTTATTACGTTATTAGAACATTACTCTGACGTTATATTAATGTTCTCTGTGTTATTTAATACGTTATTAGAACATTACGCTGACGTTATAATAATGTTCTCAGAGCGTTATTTAATACATTATTAGAGCATTCCACTGACGTTACATTAATGTTCTCAGAGCATTATTTATTACGTTATTAGAACATTACTCTGACGTTATATTAATGTTCTCTGTGTTATTTAATACGTTATTAGAACATTACGCTGACGTTATAATAATGTTCTCAGAGCGTTATTTGATACATTATTAGAGCATTCCACTGACGTTACATTAATGTTCTCAGAGCGTTATTTATTACGTTATTAGAACATTACTCTGACGTTATATTAATGTTCTCTGTGTTATTTAATACGTTATTAGAACATTACGCTGACGTTATAATAATGTTCTCAGAGCGTTATTTAATACATTATTAGAGCATTCCACTGACGTTACATTAATGTTCTGAGAGCATTGTCTGTTATCTGGGTCTTCATCCGGAGTGAGACCCACAGAAAGAGTAAAGGAAGCAGAGGGAGGAGAGAGAGACGGAGGGTTTTTTTGTCCCTCAGGGGCCTCCAGGGCTCCTGCTGCGAGCCGGGGTCTTTGTGCGGGACAGACTGCTATTGTCCTGCTGAGAGAACATTGTCCGGTTCCTCTCTGGGATGGAGCTCCAGTCTCAGACACACCCTCTTCCTCCTATAGATCTGCACAGAGTCCCTTATCATGACGGCGCTTTTTTACCAAGATATCGAATATGTTAAAGTTAAAGTGAGAATTATTAGACCTTCTATATATGCTTTTCATATATTTCTATGTTTAACAGAGAGAAGATTTATTTTAACACATTTCTAAACATAATGGTGTTAATGACTCATTTCTAATCACTGATTTATTTTATCTTTGTCATGATGACAGCACATAATATTAGACTAGATATTCTTCAAGACACTAGTATTCAGCTTAAAGTGACATTAAAAGGCTTAACTAGGTTAATAAGGGTAAAGTTAGGGTAATTAGGCAAGTCAAACGGGTTTGTTCTGTAGAAAATCCAAAATAAATATTGCTTAAAGAAGCTAATAATATTGACCTTAAAATGGTTAAAAAAAGATATAAAAAACTGCTTTTATTCTAGCCGAAATAAAACAAATCAGCAGTGTTGAGCATGCTACTTGAAAAATGTAATGAGCTAAGCTATTAGCTATTGGGTTAACTACACTAAATGCTACCCCCTGGGAAATGTGGCAAGCTAAGCTAAAAGCTTCATGGCAAAAGTAGCTTAGCTACATATGTCATTCATTTTCTTGTCGGCTTAGTCCCTTTATTAATCCGGGGTCACCACAGCGGAATGAACCGCCAACTTATCCAGCAAGTCTTTACGCAGCGGATGCCCTTCCAGCCGCAACAGATCTCTGGGAAACATCCACACACACATTCACACACACACACTACAGACAATTTAGCCTACCCAATTCACCTGTACCACATGTCTTTGGACTGCGGGGGAAACCGGAGCACCCGGAGGAATCCCACACGAAGGCAGGGAGTACATGCAAACTCCACACAGAAACGCCAACTGAGCCAAGGTTCGAACCAGAGACCTTCTTGCTGTGAGGCGACAGCACTACCTACTGCGTCACTGCCTCGCCCGCTACATATAAGTTATTTTTACAATTAATTTTAAAATCGAAGCTACTTAAATCCAAGTCAATCATATCTTAGTAATCAATAAAACTGTCAACGAAACATGTGAGGCAGAATAGTTCAGTTCAGTTATTTACTGTAAATAAAATGATGTACTAAATTATAGTATATAACAGCTAAACAAAGACAAAAAATCCCATAAAACCAGGTGTTATTTAAAATACTACAGTAATTTATAGTAAAGGGGAATATTTTTGGAATAAGCATTATATATATATATATATATATATATATATATATATATATATATATATATATATATATA